TTGTCTCGAACCATAGCTTCTTCTTCACCAATCAACCATTCTTCTTCCTTCGTTCCAATCCGATCTCACTTCGTAAAATTCAACAGTTCCACTTCCTTCCTTCCCTCCTCTCTCTCCCTAGCTCCCCGCGGCATCATCCCCTGTTCCGCTACCTCCACGGGATCAGACTCTATCGAAACTCTAGCCAAAGCAACCTTCCATGGACTCTGCTATGTCCTTGGAGACAACATAGACACTGACCAAATCATACCAGCAGGAGCAACTTGTACCTACCCAACGAACCAGCAAGAACGTGACGAACTCAGCGCTTTCGCTCTCTCTGGCCTCCCGGATTTCCACAAAACCCGGTTCGTAGATCCAGGAGAGTTCAAATCAAAATACTCAATCATAATAGCTGGAGACAACTTCGGTTCCGGTTCGTCACGTGAACATGCACCGGTCTGTCTTGGAGGAGCTGGAGTTAAAGCTGTTGTTGCGGAGTCTTACGCGAGGATCTTTTTCCGTAACACGGTGTCTACGGGAGAGTTGTTTCCGCTTGAGTCAGAGGTTAGAGTATGTGAAGAGTGTAAGACAGGAGATACGGTAACGGTCGAGCTAGGTGAGATTGGTGGTTTATTGACTAATCACACGACTGGTAAAAAGTATAAGATCAAGGCGATTGGTGATGCAGGACCGGTTATTGATGCTGGTGGTATTTTTGCTTATGCGAGGTTAATGGGAATGATTCCATCATTAACTCCATAATATGTGTGTTTAGAGTTCTTTTATTCTCTTGTCCTTTTTGTTGTTGTCATTTATCTAAAAGAATAAGAAATACCAAGCCAAGTAATAAAAGTCGTGTTCTAAGAAATGATGTAGTATCACTTAAAAAACAAAAAATGATGTATCAAAAATGGTTAATGATATATGTGTGAATATAGTTACTGATATGTGAAGATGGTGATTTTTAAACTAGTTATTAATATGGAGTATTAGATAACTAAATAACTATGATTGTGTTTGTATAAATCTTTTAAATTTGATATATGAATTTTGAGAAAATTTGATCAATCACTCAATTCTTGAATAATATGTTAAAACTATTTATCTATGACTATCATTACACGATTTTCTTTAAAAAATAAAAAAAATTCTCTACCACATTACACAATTCTTGAATAATAGTTTTTAAATAATTAAATAAAGGAATTACTTTGGCATATTTATCTGTTCTTCATTTCGGCAATTTACAACTACTAGTACGGTAACCAACAAGAACCGGTTATATTGAGTAATTTTGACCAATTTTGTTTGGTTATCCACCGGTTTAACAACTAACCTTTTAGCACTCGGTTTGAAAAAACCAGGCATGGCTTAACCTAAAATTTGACTCTTTATAACGCCGCTCGTCTTCTACATTGTCTCTGTATAACTCAGAAAACAAAAACATGGCAACTACAGAGGTAAAACCCTCCGCCGACAAAAACCCTAAACGGAATCCATCACTGGGTCCGAAGAAATATTTGAAGAAGAAGAAGTCTAAGAAGCCGAAAGCTCTCACCTTTGATAAAAACGACGGCGATGAGCAACCTGTATCGGCTTCTGAACAGCTTACCTTCTTCTTGAATCAACTCGAATCCGCCATTGGTGTTCGTGTTTCTTCTTTAGAGCTCGATCCCATTAAAGGTTCGTGCTTTGATCTCTTAAGTAGTTTCTTATGGGTTAGAGTTTAAGATCCCAAAAACACGAGCTTTGATGTTTGATTCGAGCTTATATGTTGATTGCAGATAAGTGTATAGTTGAGTTATCTCAAAATTTGGACCAAAATGTAAGCAATTTGGGAGAGCATTTAAAGATGTCTTATGGATCTTCATGGAGAGAGTCTCTTTGTGAAGGAGAGATAATTGAAGGGAAAGTTGAACCTGGAAACCCATCTGTTCTTGTTATTAGTTCCTCTGCTTTGAGATCTTTGGAACTTCAAAGGTATCATTGTAAATTTGTTTTCTTTTTTTATTTGATTTGTTGCTTTATTGGATACAAAAGTGTGTAGTTTAGACTTTGTCTTTTTATTCTGATATGTGTAGGGAGGGTTTGCGTTTATTGACTAAGCAGTGTCCTGCAGTGAAGTTGTTCTCAAAGCATTTGAAGGTTGAGGAACAGGTAGTGTTCTATTCTTGCAAGTATTCAATGCATATAGAGAAAGAGAACAGATTTGAAAACATAGTTTATTAGATTTCAGACTAAAATGAATCATGTTTTTTCTTTGGGATATGATGACAAAAATACGGAATCTTCTAAGGCTAAGGCACTGCAGATAGAAATGTATTTGCACGTCAGTCTGATCCCATTATATATATTGCATTAAGCATTAGTGTATGCTCATGATGTAATTCATCGATATCTTCTTTGTTTTAATGTTAAGAATACGGGAAGTGATGATAAGATATATCGAGATTTTCATAGGCATTTTGCAATGCTGAACAAAAATAATTGCACGTCAGTCTGATCCCATATATAATGTTTAAGAGTTGGTGCTTGTTTATGTTACTCATGTTTTTCTTTGTTTTGAATGTTAAGGATTTTGGGAAGTGATGATAAGATATCGATTATGTCATAGGCACATGCAATGCTGAACAACATATTTGCACGTCAGTCTGATCCCGTTATATATCCATCATTAAGCATTAATGTGAATTCTCGTGTTATTAATCCCTCTCTGTTTCTCTCTTTCATTTCAAGAGCCTTGGAAATGATGATAAGATATATCGATATTTTCAGAGGCATATTCTATGCTGAACAAAAATATTTGCACGTCAGTCTGATCCCAGCTCTTGATATCGTTTCATTTTTGCATATAAAGTTCCGAGTAAATTCTCACACCATAGCCTTTCATTTTATTACCGTAGGAACAGGCTTGCTCTTTAAGTTTCTTTTGATAGAAAATCTTTATCTTGTACATAAGTTTCATCCTATATCTTTGAAACATCCATCTTATTTATAATCTTTGTTTGTGTTCTCATTTTGTTGTACATCTCTCAACTCATTGTTATACGACTCAAGTTATTAACTCAAGTTCGCTGTTGGTGTAGGTATCTCTGTTGAAGAAACGGGTTAATATTGGGAGCGGCACACCGAGCAGGTTAGTAAATTTCATCATTTCCCTTGATAGATGACTTAATATCCTTCTTTCTCTATAGCAACTGATTCTCTTCTTCCTTCTCTGTGCAGAATCAAAAAGCTAATCGACATAGAGGCATTAGGCCTTTCGCGTTTAGATATGATCGTGCTCGACATGCACACTGATGTCAAAGGATTCTCCTTATTCACACTACCCCAAGTCAGGTTTGTTTCTCCACACTCTTCAACAAGCTGTTCCCATCATCATCATACGACTGAAATTTTGATATTTGCAGAGATGAGTTTTGGGATCTGTATAAGAACTGTTTCCACCAGAGAGTGTTAGAAGGCAATCTACGTATCTGTCTGTATGGTCCAAAGCCAGCAACTCCAAAGCTTAAGAACAAAAAGAAACAGAGACGAAACCAACATTGACCAAAACAGTTTTCTACTACTCAAAATTTTTGATATGTTAGTCATGTTCTTGCAATGTTTTAATCATAATGAATAGCTTTGTGAAAGAGAAACATTGTTGTGTTAAGTGTTCTTTTGGCATAAAGTAGTGAACTAATAGATGATCTTCTCACAAAGTCAAATCAATGATAAAGTAGATTCTTTCTGTTAAATGTTTTGTGTGTATTTTGGGATTTGTGGGTTTCTCTCCAATAGATGGTGGAGAAGAAGATCCTATAAATGAAGAAAATAGTGGAAACACCACCAAAAGAGCTTCTAGATGTTTGACTTTAGAACATTCCATTAAACCAGAAACACTCAAAGTAGTGTCTTTTTATAAGTTTGTGAAAGTAATGTCTCTCCAATAGATATATGCATAATGATCCCATTATAACATACTTTTAAGATAATGTTGATTTCTCACTGCTTTGCTTTTTAGTGTACACACAGATCTGTCTGAATTTTTGTTGGCTTTGATGACCACACCCTAAATTTTTCATGATTGTCTTAATTTTTGTTATTAATAAAATATAATAAGAGTGAAAATGTCAATTGAACGAATTGATATGTAAATTAAGTTCATAGTTAAATAGTGGTTGTGAATTATGTGTAATTTGGGTTTCTTCCAATATCTTATGTCTATTGATTTATATTCAAGGTGTGATGACGAAAGGATGACATTTTCGTTGGT